CGGCATCAGCTTTTCAAAAACTAAGATGAAAAGTTTTTTTAGCAAATGTTTGGAACATTTTTTGAAAGTTTTTTTTGTTTTTGTTTTAGTTATAATTATACATAGTACTTAATTGTACGTTCAAACCAGAAACTTATAAGCATATAAATTATAAAATTATACGTTTACAAGCTAAATCGGCCAGTGTGAGTGCTAAAAAAAGCATCGGCTTGTCGGGAGCATCTCCATATTGGGATGATAATTGAGGCCAACTAAAGCCACTGCTGGTATTCTAAGAAAGGGAACAAAGTTTTTCTACAAACAAAGTGTGACTGAAATTGAAACTAATTTTAAAAAACAATTAAACTAAAAAAAACCACCCAATCACCCATTAATCTATCCAACCAATTATTAAAAGAATCCTCATCTTACTTTCCACTCTGCAAAATTTTTTGTATATGATTCAATTCTCTTGCAAATGGCAGTATTTCTAAAATTTTTGTTACTAGTAAAACACCCTGTATTTGTTGAAGCTTAGCTTAGGGCTTTCGGTATCAGATTTTCAAAACCTTTAGATGAAAAAACTTTTTAACAATTGTTTGGAGCATTTTTCACTGTTTTTTTTGTTTTTGTTTTAGTTATACATCATACTTAATTTCACGTTCAAACCAGAAACTTATAAGCATATAGTTTATAAAATTATACTTTTACAAACTGGTTCGGCTTGTGTGAATGCCAAAAAAAGCATCGGCTGGTCGGGAGCATCTCCATATTGGGATGATAATTGAGGCCAGCTAAAGCGACTGCTGGTATTCTAAGAAAGAGAACAAAGTTTTTCTTCAAACAAAATGTGACTGAAATTGAAATTAAGTTAAAAAAAACAATTAAATTAAAAAGAAACCACCCAACGACCCATTAATCTATCCGCAATCATTAAAAGAATCCTCAACCTACTTTTCACTCTGCAAAATTGTTTGTATATGACTTAATTTAGTTGCAAATGGCAGTGTTTCTAAAATTTTCGTTACTTGTAAAACACCCTGTAATTGTTGAAGCTTAGCTTAGGGCTTTCGGCATCAGCTTTTCAAAAACTAAGATGAAAAGTTTTTTTAGCAAATGTTTGGAACATTTTTTGAAAGTTTTTTTTTGTTTTAGTTTCAATTATACATAGTACTAAATTGTAAGTTCAAACCAGAAACTTATAAGCATATAGTTTATGAAATTATACGTTTACAAATTAAATCGGCCTGTGTGAATGCCAAAAAAGCATCGGCTTGTCGGGATCATCTCCATATTGGGATGATAATTGAGGCCAACTAAAGCCACTGCTGGTATTCTAAGAAAGAGAACAAAGTTTTTCTTCAAACAAAATGTGACTGAAATTGAAATTAAGTTAAAAAAACAATTAAATTAAAAAAAACCACCCAATCACCCATTAATCTATCCAACCAATTATTAAAAGAATCCTCATCTTACTTTCCACTCTGCAAAATTTTTTGTATATGATTCAATTCTCTTGCAAATGGCAGTATTTCTAAAATTTTTGTTACTAGTAAAACACCCTGTATTTGTTGAAGCTTAGCTTAGGGCTTTCGGTATCAGATTGTCAAAACCTTTAGATGAAAAAACTTTTTAACAATTGTTTGGAGCATTTTTCACTGTTTTTTTTGTTTTTGTTTTAGTTATACATCATACTTAATTTCACGTTCAAACCAGAAACTTATAAGCATATAGTTTATAAAATTATACTTTTACAAACTGGTTCGGCTTGTGTGAATGCCAAAAAAAGCATCGGCTGGTCGGGAGCATCTCCATATTGGGATGATAATTGAGGCCAGCTAAAGCGACTGCTGGTATTCTAAGAAAAAGAACAAAGTTTTTCTTCAAACAAAATGTGACTGAAATTGAAATTAAGTTAAAAAAAAACAATTAAATTAAAAAGAAACCACCCAACGACCCATTAATCTATCCGCAATCATTAAAAGAATCCTCAACCTACTTTTCACTCTGCAAAATTGTTTGTATATGACTTAATTTAGTTGCAAATGGCAGTGTTTCTAAAATTTTCGTTACTTGTAAAACACCCTGTAATTGTTGAAGCTTAGCTTAGGGCTTTCGGCATCAGCTTTTCAAAAACTAAGATGAAAAGTTTTTTTAGCAAATGTTTGGAACATTTTTTGAAAGTTTTTTTTTTGTTTTAGTTTCAATTATACATAGTACTAAATTGTAAGTTCAAACCAGAAACTTATAAGCATATAGTTTATGAAATTATACGTTTACAAATTAAATCGGCCTGTGTGAATGCCAAAAAAAGCATCGGCTTGTCGGGATCATCTCCATATTGGGATGATAATTGAGGCCAACTAAAGCCACTGCTGGTATTCTAAGAAAGAGAACAAAGTTTTTCTTCAAACAAAATGTGACTGAAATTGAAATTAAGTTAAAAAAAACAATTAAATTAAAAAGAAACCACCCAACGACCCATTAATCTAACCGCAATCATTAAAAGAATCTTCATCTTACTTTCCACTCTGCAAAATTTTTTGTAAATGACTCAATTCTGTTGCAAATGGCAGTTTTTCTAAAATTTTCGTTACTAGTAAAACACCCTGTAACTGTTGAAGCTTAGCTTAGGGCTTTAGGCATCAGCTTTTCAAAAACTAAGATGAAAAGTTTTTTTAGCAAATGTTTGGAACATTATTTGAAAGTTTATTTTTTGTTTTAGTTTCAATTATACATAGTACTAAATTGTACGTTCAAACCAGAAACTTATAAGCATATAGTTTATGAAATTATACGTTTACAAATTAAATCGGCCTGTGTGAATGCCAAAAAAAGCATCGGCTTGTCGGGAGCATCTCCATATTGGGATAATAATTGAGGCCAACTAAAGCCACTGCTGGTATTCTAAGAAAGGGAACAAATTTTTTCTACAAACAAAGTGTGACTGAAATTAAAACTAAATTTAAAAAACAATTAAACTAAAAAAACCACTCAATCACCCATTAATCTATCCAACCAATTATTAAAAGAATCCTCATCTTACTTTCCACTCTGCAAACTTTTTTGTATATGATTCAATTCTGTTGCAAATGGCAGTATTTCTAAAATTTTTGTTACTAGTAAAACACCCTGTTTTTGTTGAAGCTTAGCTTAGGGCTTTCAGTATCAGATTTTCAAAAACTTAAGATGAAAAAACTTTTTAACAATTGTTTGGAACATTTTTCACTGTTTTTTTTTGTTTTTGTTTTAGTTATACATAATACTTAATTTCACGTTCAAACCAGAAACTTATAAGCATATAGTTTATAAAATTATACGTTTACAAACTGGTTCGGCTTGTGTGAATGCCAAAAAAAAGCATCGGCTGGTCGGGAGCATCTCCATATTGGGATGATAATTGAGGCCAGCTAAAGCCACTGCTGGTATTCTAAGAAAGGAAACAAAGTTCTTCTACAAACAAAATGTGACTCAAATTGAAATTAAATTAAAAAAACAAGTTTGGAAAGTAACTGTGGTCGGAACCTTATGTGCTACTTGCTCAGCAACAAGCAAATTTTGTTTCGGTTATTTTTTTGTGCGTTTTGAAACAGTAATGAAGTATCCGTCTTTTTTAAAAGTTGTCAAGCTTGTAGCTGACTTGACTTTATAAACTAAATCGGCTTGTGTGAATGCCAAAAAAGCATCGGCTTGTCGGGAGCATCTCCATTTTGGGAAAATAATTGTGGCCAGCTAAAGCCACTGCTGGTATTCTAAGAAAGGGAACAAAGTTCTCCTACAAACAAAATGTGACTGAAATTGAAATTAAGTTAAAAAAAAACAATTAAATTGAAAAGAAACCACCCAACCACCCATTAATCTATCCAACCAATCATTGAAAGAATCCTCATCTTACTTTCCACTCTGCAAAAAATGTTTGTATATGACTCAATTTATTTGCAAATGGCAGTGTTTCAAACTTTTTCGTTACTAGTAAAACACCGTGTATTTGTTGAAGCTTAGCTTAGGGCTTCCGGCATCAGTTTTTTAAAAATTTAAGATGAAAAGTTTTTTGAGCAAATGTTTGGAACGTTTTTGAAAGTTTTTTTTTGTTTTTGATTTAATTGTACATAGTACTTAATCTTACGTTCAAACCAGAAAATTATTACATACAGTTTATAAAAATATTATTTTACAAACTAAATCGGCTTGTGTGAATGCCAAAAAAAGCATCGGCTTGTCGGGAGCAGCTCCATTTTGGGAAAATAATTGTGGCCAGCTAAAGCCACTGCTGGTATTCTAAGAAAGGGAACAAAGTTCTCCTACAAACAAAATGTGACTGAAATTGAAATTAAGTTAAAAAAAAACAATTAAATTAAAAAGAAACCACCCAACCACCCATTAATCTATCCAACCAATCATTAAAAGAATCCTCATTTTACTTTCCACTCTGCAAAAATTTTTGTATATGACTCAATTTATTTGCAAATGGCAGTGTTTCTAATTTTTTCGTTACTAGTAAAACACCGTGTATTTGTTGAAGCTTAGCTTAGGGCTTCCGGCATCAGTTTTTTAAAAATTTAGGATGAAAAGTTTTGTTAGCAAATGTTTGGAACATTTTTTGAAAGTTTTTTTTTGTTTTTGTTTTAGTTATAATTATACATAGTACTTAATTTTACGTTCAAACCAGAAACTTATAAGTATATAGTTTATAAAACTATACGTTTACAAACTAGTTCGGCTTGTGTGAATGTCAAAAAAAGCATCGGCTTGTCGGAAGCATCTCCGTATTGGGAAGATAATTTTGGCCAGCTAAAGCCACTGCTGGTATTCTAAGAAAGGAAACAAAGTTCTTCTACAAACAAAATGTGACTCAAATTGAAATTAAATTAAAAAAACAAGTTTGGAAAGTAACTGTGGTCGGAACCTTATGTGCTACTTGCTCAGCAACAAGCAAATTTTGTTTCGGTTATTTTTTTGTGCGTTTTGAAACAGTAATGAAGTATCCGTCTTTTTTAAAAGTTGTCAAGCTTGTAGCTGACCTGATGCTCATGAGGATATCGCCGGTGGGGTGAACTCTGAAGAAGACGTTCTCCTTTGTGACCTGGTGCACGTTGGAGGTGATTTCGGTCTGGAAGAAAGAGTCCGGCAGCCACAGGAAGTCTATCAAGTCCTGCGAAAGTGGAATTGGCTTGCTCCCATTGTAGGCCAATCGGGGGTCCCTCCAGTACTGGCGGAAGTACATGCCCACTTTGAATGTCTGTGCCGTGAAAAAAAACAGAAGCAGGTTAACAACTTTCGATTTCAATCATCAATCTAGAAACTATTCAGCGGATTTTTCCAAAAATTGGGAATAACATTTACAGATATTTATACAGCCGTTGGAGTTGATTAAGACGTTGGAGCGAAATAAAATCGTTCGAGACTTCAGTGAGGGGTTTTAGTGACAAAAAATTGATGCTAACTTTTAGCTTAAAATGTTTATTTGCGTTTTTAAATGGATGAAACACAAAGTTATTAGAAAAGTGTCTTGATGGAAGTTCGCAATTTCTCATTCTGTCGTGAAAATTTCAATTAATGCTGTTTACTAACTTTACTGGTTAATGCGTGAAAAATCACACGCGCAATTTTTTTTTCACTCCAGCTGAGGAAACTTCTGGGAGTTTCGAACTCACCATGTCGACCTCTGAAACTGGCCCCACGTTGACCACGTAAATGTTCACAGACACTTCCACTGGATCCCCTGGAACAGAAACAAAAACTGAAGTGGCAAGACAGAAGACGCATCAAAAATTACAAGAAGTGCCATAGTGCTGAAAGCAAAGTGGTTGTGATTTTGACCAATAACTAACATTTCATTCGATAGCTATGCAAAGAATATTTATTTTTCGACCGCATTTTATCCAGAAGATAATTGAAAAAATTGAAAAAAAAAACATATTTTTATTGTTCTTTTTTGTTAATTTTTTAAACATCTTTTTTGTTCAAATTTCCTGTCATGATTTTTACAAAAAGAAAAAGAAATTGAAAAAGCTAAAATGAGTGCTAATAATAGTTCTAATGACGTCAAAAACGTAAGTCGAATTAAACTTGGAGATTCGCCTCTATAATTCAAATTGAGCATTTTAGCCTGAAAATTGAATTTTTTTTCGACGCTGAGACAACTGATTTAAAGATTTTCTAGAATCGAAGCCCGAATTAAAGGACATTCAATTGATACAATTTTGAACCCCCAAAGAGCTTTCTTTGAGGTAAGAGGGCACCTTCAAATTATATGTTAAGTTTTTGGTGAGAGAAAAACTGCAACACATTTTTAGGATGTTTCCAAACTTGCGCATCTGTTGGAATCAAACTTCCGACCTTTAGATCGAAGAGTAATCACACTAGCTACTGTGCCAGCCTGTGACAAGGGACAAGCTGAAGTTTAGCACAGTGATGTTGTTAAATGACTCACTATTAAAGTATGTGGTTGGTCTGAGTCTCCTCTCGTAGGTGCTGTTAGACAACATCTCCAGTAACTTCTTCTCGTCATCGAAACATAAACCCATTCTGCCAGCGCATAGTAACACCAGTGACATTTGCACCCAGCCACAATATCTGTGCAAAAATAAGTCTTAACTTTACCCACAAATGTCATTACTTTCACCATAGTAGTGGCTTTCAGCATAGTGGCAAGGCGTTCGCTTTTAGAACGTCAGATTCACTGTTCGATATCCTGCCATGACAATGATAGTGTGTGAGGACAAGCTCTAACTTGACCTCTATATTCAGGTTTCAGGTACCACAGCTAGACGATTTCGGCTGCAATATTGCGGCACCACGTGAAAATTTTAGACCCAAAAACGTCCCTGATTCGCATAAAATGAGCGTTGCTCAGCAAAAATAATTTAATATGAACGCAGTGAAATATGTAATATGAAGAAGTATGAGAAAAAGGCCCACGAATCACAATTAATTAACATATTTTTTTTACAGGTAATTGCATATCGCTGTAGTGCATCAAAAAATTTCCGAATCTGAAAAGTTTCCGAATTTTTTTGCCATTCTTTGCCAAAAAAAGCAGTTTTTCCTCTTTTAGACGTTGTCACCATAATTTTATCGAGTGGCAACCGCAATTTTGTAAGTTTTGCAGTATTGTTTTTAAAAAAACGTTAAATTACCAATACTAAACTCAGAGCAAAGGTCATTAATTCAGAAAGGGATCTATTCCTATTATCAAAAAGTTAGCTGTTCACTTTTCAGATAAATCTCTAGTGGAATCTCTGCTAGCAAAAGCCTTTTATGGTTTGTTAGTTTTACCGGATTGGTAAAAACTATTTTGCGTCTAAAAATTTATAAAAAAAGTTAACCGGATTCTGTGCAAAGAGTACGAAATGTTCCAAGCACATTTAAAAATTACATTTAGCTTTTTTAACGTTTTTTGTTCAAACTTAAGTGATGTAAATAATTTCAAAACTGCAAAAATGCGATAACTTGGTAAATTAGATCATAGCTGAAATAATGTAGAAATTTCAAAGGTTAAATAGATTGTCTCTGATCATGTCACTTGCAAGTTTTGTGTCATTTGGTCAGCAAAAAGTTTTAAGAAATTCAGACCACTTCATCTCGAAACTGAGAAATTGTTTTTGTAATATATTTTATAGAAAAAATAACGACTAATAGTGACACCACTATGATACCACATCTGTACTCTAAAAAATTGGCTAAAATTGGGCGGGAATACACTAAATATTCTACAGTTTTCTCCTCATTTAAGTGAAGCGGTCGAGATAACAAGGATAGCCCTCATTGTGCAAGTAGCAAAAAACTTTCCGATCTCGAATGAAGATGAATGAAAATTTAAAACCAAAGAATTGATTCTGGATGGAAAAAAAAATAGAACAGTCTTTGTGACTCTGAGGTAAACTTTTTGAAATTTATGGGCAGTAGCGGATTTAGGGAGGGGGGGCGGGGGGGACGTTTCCTTCTCGCCTCAGGGATTCGACTCCCTTCCGACCCAAAGGGTCCCCCTTTGTACTATTTTGAGATATCTATTTTTGGCTGACTGACCTGAAAACTTTTATAAAGGCGCCTTCGGTGCCAATCTATACTGAGTGGGAGCGCGCGCCGAAAAAACGCGATTTTTTGGTCGACGTTTTCCAAAAACTGCTTAAAAACGCCTTTTTTGGCCTTTTTTTAATAAAAAATTTGCCTGCGGCGGAGAAATTTGGTCAAATTAGGGTTTTCATAGTGGTTCGGGAGAGCTCAGTGGGTTTGGTCGACCCAAAAAAAAGGTCGACAAAACTTTCAAATTTTTTGAAAATCCACCCCACACCCCCCCCCCCTCCCTCGAGAAATTCCTAGAATCGCGCCTATTTATGGGGTATAAATCACATTTAAAAAAATTTACTTATGATAACACACTTGGCATCTCTACGAGTTTTTTTTAAGGTTGTTTCGAAAATGGCTGGAAAGATAACACACTTTTTTTATAGCTCCTTCGCACTTGCATTTGCATTTTTTCCTTGATTTAATCGTATGACTACCTTTCTAAATAAATGTACTCGTATTAAAAACATGTTTTCCATAGTTGAAAGCAAGAAACAATTTTCAGTGTTTTGCTACGAAATGCAAACCAGCAACCAAGATTTTTCTCATACTGAAATGTCCATTGCTAAAACTGCAAAAAGTTTGCAGGTTAATTTACTTTTTGAGATACGCTTTTCACTGTTATTAGTTTTCACACAATTTGATTTAAAAAATCCGTGTTTGCCTTCTCTGAGAACCTCATTGCGTCTTTTGATTCTGCTGGGCAAAATACTTTTTATATAGAGGACAAATTAACAGAGAAATACTCTGTTTGCAAGAAGTTGACAACATTTTCAATCATATAATTCCCATTCATTTAATGAAAAACAGCATCCACTTCTACCATTCTTCCCAACCCACTTCAAATTTCTCTCATCTCTAGATATGCATGACTAGCGTTCTTCCATCAACTATTTAAATGCAAATTCTTTCAAGCATTTAATTTTTTCCTTTTTGTTCCGACTTTCCTAATGAAAGTAGCGGAATATTTGTGCTCGGAACTAGTCCTTTTTGACCGGATTTTTTAAATATCATTCAAAAACTATTGTTTTGAGCTTAAATTTGAAAATCTATTTCACCTGTGATCTTTTTTTCTAGCTATTAACGCGTAAGTGGAGATATAATTCGTCTTAGAAAGCGTTCCAAATTGGCTGAAGGAAGCTTATTTGCCATAATTGATTTGTTACTAGGAGGAACATCTATCACATTGTACTTTATAAGATTTTCGCAAAAATCTCAAATTAAAAAAAAATTTTTTATTTTTTTTCTACAATTAATTTTTTGTGTTATTACTACTCCATAGACCTTAAAAAGCAATCGCAACATTCAGGGCTTTGCCATGATATGAGCAGTATTGTTGTTCCGACATTCGTAACGAAAGTAAAGGAAAACTTGTGTTCGGGATGGTTTTTTTTTCTTCAGACAAAATTCGACTTTTTAACCAGTCAGTTTCGATGGAGTTTCTTTTATCATTCGAAAACTATTGTTGTCCTGAGCTTAAATTTGAACATTTTCATTTTTCACCTGTGATTGTTTTTTGTGTTGTGAAGTGGCCAATTTGGGACAGTTAACGCGCGATATTTTTCGCGCTATTAACGCGTAAGCAGAGATTTAATCCATTTTAGAAATCGTTCCAAATTGGTTCAAGGAAACTTATATGCCAAAATTTATCACTTTGTACTTAATATGGCGGTTGCGGGATGTTTTTACAAAAAATCTTATTTTTTAAAGTTTTTTTTACATTGTTCAAATTTTTCATGTTTTTACTGCTCCGTAGAACTTAAAAGGCAGTCGGAACATTCAAGGCTTCGCCCTGATACGAGCTGTCTTGTTTGTGTTTGTTTCAAATTCAAAGATGTCTCTGGATGTTTTCATTCCATCAGTCAAAATGGCAATTGACGCTCACAGAATAACTCCAATCAGAGATATGCCGCAAATCAAAATCACAAATCTTTTTATTTTTGGAGATTTTTCAGCAAATTTAACTTGAACTATCTTTCTAAATTTGGTGATGAACTTATTGCCACTAAAAAGAAACATAAAACACTATCATGGAAAAAATTCAATCTACTGTTAAGAGAAAGTAGATTTTGGTTGAACTTAGTGACGTTCAGGAGATCCATTTAAGAGAAAAAGTTTGTTTCAGAGAATTTTTTTTTCGTTGATATTACTGAAAACAAAGCTTTTACCGCAGTTTTGGGACTTTTGTAGATCAATTTTATTGCTGCTAAATTTTCGCATGTAAATATTTTAGTTATTTTTTTTAACTTAAAACATGAACACGAAAAGCCAAGTGGAAGGCAGACAGGTTTTTATTAAACTTAGTTATTGGTCATAATAATCTGCTTAAGTGTATATAACCCGTAATACATCTGTGTATATATGGATAAATTCTGTAGAGAATCTTTAATATATGAATCTGTTTATATGTATATGTAAATGTATATGTATATATATATATATATATATATATATATATATATATATATATAGGTATTGGGTTCATAAACTGTCAGAAGTTTGTAGATAGTATGTACAAAAATTTGCACCAAGTTTGCGTTTTGGTAGCTATCAAACCACTTAGCTCAAATAAAAAATGCTTTCGATATTGCTATCGATATATTAGTTTTTAAGTTCCATTATTTTGTGCTTTCAAAAGCAATCTATTTCACAATTGTATTTTGTCTTTGCTACAATTGATTAAGCAATCCTAATTTTGCCAATGTTAGACGATCAGTTCAGTGATATAGTTGCTTGTGATCAACCCAATGTTCCAAAAGTACCAAAAAAATGTCGGTGGGTTTTTACCTGCGAATAAAACTAACGTCATATTTTTAATGGATATGTGGTGTTAGCTTTCAAAAAGTTGGTCTTGATTTTAAAGCCTACGTCCCTCACATTTTCAATTAAAACTTGCGTAGAACGCGTTTTTGTTTCGAGCATACATGTAATCCGGCTCACATTACAAAACACTTTCTTTACTAGAGGTACCAAGTTAGTCCAAAGTATGTTTTCTGCCTTAAGAAAATGTAACACTGGGAAAAGTTAATACAGTGCTGATTTAAATTAACCGGACAAAACAAGCTAAACTTGAAGTTTAAAATTCGTTTTTCTCAAATAGGGTTGGGTTTAGGTGAAAACTTATGAAGACAAAACTTGCTTAAAAGTTAGTCGAACTAACTCATTTTTGGGGTAAAATGTTGGGCCCGAACTTCGCAAAACAAATTACACAATATTAATTCCGCTAAAATTTTAAGCAAGTTTTGTCTTCATAAGTTTTCACCTAAACTCAACCCAATTTGAGAGAAACGCGTTTTAAATTTAAAATTTAACGCGTTTTGTCCGGTTAATTTAAATCAGCACTGAACAATAAAAAAAATAACGCGACATCTCGCAACAGAAGGCAACTGGTAGCAAAAAACAAATCTTAAAATGTAAAGAAAACGACAACTCGCAGGCTTTAAAATTAACTTATTTCTTGAGAACTTTGGCTTAAGGTGACTGTTAGGCAGTTTACGCGCATTTCACCGCTTTGCGGCAATAACCGGCTCTAAATTTTGTATTAAGTCCTAAACCCTCTTTTATCGCGAGTAATTTTTAATCGCGAGTTGTCGCATTACAAAGAAAAAACGTGAATCCCTCTCAAAAATGGAAGAGCTTTTTTGTATACAGAATCTGGGAGTCGTTGGCAAGCAAATGAACGAATATCTACTTAGCTTCAAGTTGAAAAACGAATGATATCTAAGTAACTGAGCATACCCGATAATGAACGACACTTCAATAAACTTACATTTTGATCATGATGGCGTAAAAAGTCGTTTTGTTCAGTAATAAAACTACTCAGTTTTATTCGGTTAAAAGTAGTTGTACTCAGTAAAATATGGAGATGAATTCAGTAATAAATATGGAGGGGACGATGAGAACGACCTCTAGCGGTGTAAGAGCCCAATTTCATAAGAGAGAAGAAGCTGGAGTTAAGATAAGCATCCACTCAAATCTGATCGTTCTTGGCCACTTTGCATGCAAAAGAGTGGTAAGTTTCGGGGACTCGAGATGACACAAGTGTTCTCCACTGTTTGATTTCCTCTTGGATACGGATTAGAAGATAAAAGAAGCCGATCAGCGACCAGTGATACCAAAAAATCCCCTGTGTAGTGCCCACTCAAACCCTAATACCACAGAACTCAAGGGCACTGAGCTTAATTACGTAAATCTTACTTGGACTCTAATCCAGGATAAATTGACGCTTCAATTCTACTTGATCAGGGCGAGTAAGTGCCACTGGATTGGTGGTTTGGATAACGAAGGATAAATCTTATCTGATTTGCAATCAAAGCAATGCACTTGACATTTAGAGGTGGTTCAAATAAAGACCATACTGAATTTTAATAACGGGAAACTCAAACAATCCTGTCCGAGATATAATCGGAATGTGTTTTGTCTCGCAAAAATTTCGTGTTTTTTTATTATTACGGGAAAAGACCCCAAATATATCAGAAACATTATTTTGAGCCGTCATTTCTATGGCCAAGGAAAAGATTTTAAATCAAGTTTTGGGCAAGCTATTTTGACACCTAATGATCATTTATGACAAGTCAGGCAACCAATTTCGTGACGTAGTGTTAGTTTTGAAATCTGAATTTTATGTCTGAATTGCGGTAAGAATTGCCCACTGAGAATTTCTATGGGGCGAATTGGGCGTGATCGTTCGGCAAAGTTTCTTAATCAGTGGTGTGTTTCCAAGTGTAATCAATGAAATAACACATAGTATCTTCTTTTTTGACGTGCCACTCAATTTGTATTTATTGAAATGTTGTTTCATAAGCACCGCTGATCGCGAATGTGAGATATAGTACTATCTCTGAGCAGAAATGCAGAAAGGGTGATAACTAGGGGGACAGAATAGGACATTAGGAAAGGGATTTAATTGCGTGGGGGCGTTGACGTGGCGTGGTTATCTAAGATTAAAAAGTACGTTCTAAGTAGTTCTCACTACATTTAGGTATTGAACTTCGCAAAAGATCTATTGTTGGTGTTCCGGCAACTTTTTCAATCTACGTGGCGTAGCATGAAAAAAACTAGGAATTATGGGTTTAACTGATGACAAAGAATATTACCATAGCCCGGCAACGAGATTTTACGGTAATATATGGCTTTTACGATCTAAATGACTACTATTAAATAAGATTTTTAAAATACCCTTTTCTCTGTTATTTCATCATTTCGATTTGTCCATTTGTTGGTCTCAATGACAAATTAATTTAAAGTCTACCTTCAATGTAGACTCTTTTCGCTCCAGGTAATGATTAGTTCAACTACACTTCATTTATTGGCCAATGGAACTCCTCAACTCGAATTTTTTCTTCATTTTTCAGCCGAAAAAAAAACGTTTTAATGTCATGGTTTAGTTCATGTTACTTGGAAAGTTCATTAGAAAGGATAAAGGCCCGATAAAAGGATGATTATAAAAACCATAACATTAGCTCCTCTAATGCTCTCACCAAAGGTATTGAAATCATCTTCAGGAAAAATTGTACTATATAGCTCATTATACGAAAACTAGATTTGGTGTCAATAAAAATGCGAAATCAATTTTTAACATAGAATCAAAATTGTTAATTGCCGAGTTCAAATAACTTCGGGAAACTTAATGCTGTGCTCTCGGCCATTCGGCAAAACTTTTATCGATTATTTTTAATTGGCAGTTGCCATCGTTCGAGCAGTCTTGCTTGGGGCTTTGAAAGCAATTTATAAATGCATTTTTTGTAAATAAATTGATCTTAAGCTCACTGGGTTAGATAAACCGATATCTAGTGTCACACCATTGTCAAAATTTTTTTGAACCGCAAATAATCTTAGCAATTCTAGATAAACCGTAACAAACCTTTTAGAAGTATTTCTGACAATATTGAAAAGAATTTGCGGCAAAAAGTAACCTTGAAATCAGCACCGGAAAAATATAAGATCTCTGCGTGCAAAAAGACTTCCTTTTTCATGACTAGATGGTTTGAATCGTTTTTTTTTTCAACCATTGGCTAATTAGCTGCTCTAATAACTGGGTAGTAAAGTGGGAAAATTTCAGAATGAATCTAGCCGTATGTTTTCGACTGCTTATTTGTACGCATATTCAGTTTTAATTTTAATGTACAGAGGAAGTGCTCGCTTAATCTATATTTCTGGACAAGACTGGTCGGATCAAGATGGAACTCTAAGTGTTTCTACTGGCCTTAAGATTGCCTCCACTAGTTTGCTGATAATTTTTTCACGAAATCTCCCCGTGAGCTGACGTCAACAAGACTGTTCGTTATACACAAGGCAAATTCTGAATGTTAACGTCGATGAGAAGAGTTTGTATTTAAATTTTTGCAAAAGTGCAGAAAAAGAAAAAAATTTGTATAATTTTCAATTTTACGTTCATTTTAATTTCTTTATTGTTATCTCCCCACAAATTTCAATTTAAAGTGATATATTTGCGTCTGGTAGTGTATAAAAAGTCAATAAAAAGTTTCGGGTTAAAAAATGATAGCCAAAATAATCAAAAAGAATATGAACAAGATTGCTCGTATCAGGGCGACGCCCAGAAACTTCCGACTGCCTTTTAACGTTTAAGTAGTGGTATTTCAGAAAATTTCAAAGTGTTTTAAAAAATTGATAAAATGTTCAAACAAAACGGATTTTTTTTTAACCAGTTTATTGTTGAAAATCCCCTTCAAACGCTATGTTACGTGCAAAGTGATATATTTTGCATATTGTTAAGTTTTAAATAGACCTGCCTTTTAAACTAGCATGCCTAAATTCAAATTGAGTTTCTGTCTAAGAAGGTCTAAGGCTCCGCTTGCACATTAACAGCACAATATACCTCGCACGTTTTGTCTCAAGTTAGCCGAATTGGCAACTTATTAACCCGGATACATTTTTTGAAAAAAAATATTCACAGCTAAAATATACATTTTTAAAACAAATTTTGAGCTTAATACGTCAATACATTTTAGATGGTGTAATTTTTTTTGTTCAGTTGAAATACTGTTCAAAAGATAGAAGAAAATGGACTGGAGAAAGAAAACACCCGAAAACAAATATTTTATAATTTCCTCGGAACAGCTGGACCCTTATGTACAATAAGTATTTGGAACAACGAGAGAAAACTGATTGTCGAAAATCAATTTAGAATTGTTGAATTTGGGGCTAAAGCTTTTTTTATCACAAACAAGACTGCTCGTATCAGGGCGAAGCCCTGAATATTCCGAGTGCCTTTTGAGGTTTATGGAGCAGTAATAACAGAAAAAAAATTAAAGTACTAAAATAAAATGAAAACGTTTTTTTTTTCTAAAATTTGATTTTTTTTTGGTGAAAAACATCCCCCCACACGCCATATAAAGTACAAAAGGATAGATTTCAATCCTTGTATTAAATCAATTATGGCAAATAAGATTCTTTCAACTAATTTTGAACGATGTCTAAGACGGATTAAATCTCGGCTTACGCGTTAATAGCGCGAAAAATATCGAGCGTTAATTGTACCAAATTGGCCAAAATGGCAATCTTCAAACCCCCATAACTTTACAAAAAATGGTCGCAGGTGAAATATCTTTCCAAATTTAAGCTCAGGACAACAATAGCTTTCGAATGATATTAAAATTTTTTATCAAAAATCGCTAGTTAAAAAGTCGGAACTTGTCCGAAGAAAAAAAACCCACCCCGACCACAAATATTCCGTTATTTTCGTATCGAAAGTCTGAACAAAAACATCATATTATCTATCCGAAACTGACCAAACATATAAACCACCAAAACTTACAAAAATGTTTTGCTGGCTTAAAAGTTTTAAGTAGATTTTATACGAAATAAAATGACTAGTTGATAGTAAAAAACTGCCCCCGAGTACAAATATTATGTCAATCGGAACAAAAAGTATATGTGTTGGCGTTGCCATTAAAGTTACGACCCTTGTGTAAGGTTAAACGGGTTAAACTACGACTTTTTTTGCCTGTTTCTAATTTAAGCTCAATTACGACATTGAACGGAATCAATTCGAAAAGTTATCTCAAAAAACTTTGAATCAACAAACTTTTTAAGCGAAATACTTTGAGCTGATTCGCTACTAACGTTCAAAAATTACAACTTTTAATACAATTTTGAATACAACAGACTTTGAATATAACTTTTTGCCATGAAGTTTATTAGAATAAGTAAAAATAAAAGTATTACAGTATTATAAAAAGTTTATACAGTATTATGCAGGCGAACCGGTTCTTTCACCAAATTGTTTGACCAAAATGAACTCAGAAAAGAAAATCAAAAAGAGAAACTTTGAAAAAAGTTTAACAATGGTTCAGCAGTTTTTGGTGTCTCATTTCTTTGTTAATTTTATCTGAAAAAGGTAATTGAATTACAGGAAAAATTAGAGATAAAGATGTAGCTATTGTTAAGAAAACAACGAAATAAAGCGAAAAGTTTTTTGCCAGAATAATTTTGGGGAATTAGTTTGTCAACCAATATTGCCGAGTTTAGTCTCAGAAACAAACTAAAACAAATCAAATCAGTTTTCGTGTCACAAAAAGAAGTTTTTAGAAAAAAAAATTGATTCCAAATTACAACAAGACTGCTCGTATCAGGGCGGAGCCCTGAATGTTCCGACTGCCTTTTAAGGTTTATGGGGCATTAATAACATTAAAAAAAACTTAAATGTAATAAAATAAAATGATTTTTTTTCTTCTAAAATTTGAGATTTTTATGAAAATCATCCCTCCACACGTCATATCAAGTACAAAAGGATATATTTTGCTCCTTGTAGCATAGCATTATGGCAAATAAGCTTCTTTCAACCAATTTGGAACGATTTCTGAGACGGATTAAATCTCCGCTTACGCGTTAAGAGTGCGAAATATATTGCGCGTTAATTGTCCCAAAATGGCCAAAATGGCAATATTTAAACCTCCATAACTTTGCGAAAAATGATCACAGGTAAAATATTTTTTCAAATTTAAGCTCAGGACAACAATACCTTTCGAGTGATATAAAATTCCGTCAATAATGGCTGGCTAAAAAGTCGAAATTTGTCTGAAGGAAAACAAAACCACCCGAGCACAAATATTCCGTTACTTTCGTATCTAAAGTCGGAACAATAAATCGAGATTTATATGATTCAACACAAGACCCCGGCGAGTTTCTTTGAGCTAATTTTTGAGAAATGTTTATATGATTGTAAACACTTACAAAAAAGCACGATAATGTTTTTAACGAGTTGGTTTTGATCATTTTTTCTCTTTCCACTTACATAAAACTACTATTTCGATATAAGAAAAAAACCATAAACAAAAAACTTAAGCCAGAAAACAGGTATAATAACACTAGCACCATGATACTAAAAAGACTATTAAAGTATTGGTGTTTCAAATTGGCAAAGCCTTGCACGCATCGAATTCTCTCAATTAGTTTCAGAATTCCCTACTCTGGGAAATTTTGCCACCTCTAGTATGAGCGGTAACACCGCTAAGCATATTAAAACACAGTTTTATTGGACGGACTTTAATTAAAGACAAACTGAAAACTTCATTTAAACGAATTACTCC